GAGCTATGTCACTATTCTGAAAAGCTGAAAGTGACCTGATTACACAGTAAGTTCTGCAAGGAGTAATGGAATATCTCTTTGCATCCTTGAACAGGGAACAAGTAAAACAAGTATACAAAATGGGAAATACTTTTCTAGAAGACTTAATATTTTCTGGATTATTTTGATGTCCTATCCACTGAAAAGAAGGAAATGAGGCCGGGCATGGTGGCTCATGCCTATAATCCCAGCACTCTGGGAGGCTGAGGCAGGTGGGTTGCCTGAGATGGGGAGTTGGAGACCAGCCTGACCAACATGGAGAAACCCCATCTCTACTAAAAACACAAAATTAGCCACCCGTGATGGTGCATCCCTGTAATCCCAGCTACTCAGGAGGCTGAGGCAGGAGAATTGCTTGAACCAGGGAGGCGGAGGTTGTGGTGAGCGGAGGTCGCACCATTGCACTCCAACCTAGGCAATAAGAGCGAAAACTCTGAGGAAAGAAAGACAGAAAGACAGACAGAAAGAAAGGAGAAAGAGAGAAAGAGAAGGAAGGGAAGGGAAGGGAAGGGAAGGGAAGAGAGAGAGAGAGAGAGAGAGAGAGAGAGAAAGAAAGAGAGAGAGAGAGAGAAAGAAAGAAAGAAGGAAAGAAAGAAAGAATAAAAGAAAGAAAGAAACATTGATTAAATTTTAAAACACATTTAATTAGCTCAAGAAGGGCAACTGAAAATTACCAATTCTAAAACTACATCATTCTAAAAATTACCAAATTATGGAGCCTTACAAAGAAGTTGAATGAAATACACAGTCTGGTATCCATAAACTCAGAAGGAGTGCCAAGAAATGGCTTACTCTGACAGACGGTCTCATTATTAGTAAAAGTCACAGAATGGTTATTAGAACTGGGAGGAGTCTTAGAGGTGGCTTAACAGAGCCCCTAACTCTAGCTATTCTCTTCTCTCAGGGAAACCACAGTTGAATTGAACAGCCAAGACAAACCCACATGAAATATTAACCAAAACCCTTCCCTTTCTTGTGATCTGAGCACTGAATGAATTATAGGCAGGCACATAAAAGCTCAGACCAAGGGGCAGACATGTGGGCTCTATTACCCTGCAAGGCTTCATGTCACTCTCATTTCATGGGCAACTATAAATATGCTGATTTGCCACTCAATCTGAAGAAATGCTGAACAAAACATTCAATTCATGTGATTGATGTGTGGAGAACATATTTTAAAACTTCAAGTTTTAGGTATGTGAACATTCTCCCCTGCCCCTGCGGCTGCCCCCAGGCTCAAGCAATCCTTCTGCCTCAGCCTCCCAAAGTGGACATTTGAACATTTTAAAGCTTCAATAAGTGAGTTTGCTGATTCAGTTTGGGTACAACATTAACTGGGCGTTTTAAACCTTACATGGTCCAAAGTAGAGGTCTTTGAGGAAAAGCTAACCAAGGCAGCTTTGTGGACACAATGGTTTCAGCTCTAGGAACCTTCAGACAGTCTCCACTAAAATGGAAATTCCCAGGAGAAAAGGTCTGATTGTTCCAGTTTCTTCCTAGATCAATTCTTAGTCCCTGATTGCTGAACAAAAAATCAGGATATTAATCCAAGTCAGGGTTGGTTGAATCATCAAACAATGAGAACAGTTAAGAGTTGGGATCATTTCTTTGGGAGGCAGGGGGCGGGTGGACAGGGTTGTTGGTCAAAATACTTCTGTTCAGACTAAATAATGCACCCAGGTGTCCCAAATAGAAAGCAAGTTCTGAATGCAAGATACTTTAATTATTTTGCCAAGCTAAAGTCAAGAGGACAGGAGACACAGCAGGGCCAGACTCACTTAATAAGATTCTGGAAGTTAGAGGCAGGTAAGGCACCTGCTTCAAGGTAAAATTAGAACAAAATTGGATTCAGAAGGCAGATCACAAGTCAGGAATGTAAGATCTGGAGTTGTTATGTACCTGTCTGCATTTGTTAGTGGTTCTTCCACCATTTGACCCTGTTCTGTAGATTAATGCCTCCCTTGCTAGCCTTTCTGCTTCCCTATGGAAGATCTTAGCAACAAAACATTGAGTGCATCTGAGAAATACGAAAAGTTGAGCATTCAGTGTTTAGGATGGGTGGAAACCAAGACAGCTCTGGAGATGCAATGACTGAAGCACTTGGAACCTTCAGACACTGTGAGTCTCCATTAAGACGTTTCAATTCCCAGGATAAAAATGTCTGATTATTCCAGGTTTCTTCCTAGATGAATCAGGTATTTCTTGGAGTGAAGGTTGGAGGTGGGATGTCATGTAGCACAGTAGGGATACTGAGGGCCCATCTTATGCATCAAGACCATTCTTGGGATAAGGAAGAATTATTAGGGGCAGGAAAGTGACTTCAACCTGAGCTTACCACAAAGTCCAAATCCTCATTGATTCATTCATCAAGACAGCACATCACAGCAGAGTGCTTCAGAATGCAAGCTATGGAACCAAGTGCTTGGGATGCATTTCTGGCTCTGTCAGTTACTAACACTGCACTTTCTTCACCAGTCAAAGCAGTTAATTTGAGTGCCTATCTCACAGGATGGTACTGAGGAGTAAAAGGCTTAATGCGCATAGTGAGCCTAGGATAGTGTGTGGCCCATAATAAGTACTCAACAAATTTTAGCTATTACTGACATTCATTTGAAAAATCTTAATGAACACTGATTATGTGCCAAGTACTGTGTGAGCTTCTCACCACCCTTTAGCCCAAATCTACTCTTCCACTGAGTAGGATATTCTTATCCTAGTCATTCATTAGAAATGTGGGAGTCATCTTAACTTCTCCCACCTCCTCATTGCCCACTTCTAAATATACACCCGACTGGGTTCCACCTATTAAACCTCTACCAGCCCCTTTCCTCTTTTCCCGTCTGCACTGTCACTGCTCGATTCAGGCCTTCTTTAATGTCCCATCTGCAATATGACAACAGTTTCCAAGGTGTCTCCCTAAAGTCAATGCCACTGTCATCTAATCTAAGATTTTTTAAATTCCAATTTTTGTTATAATTTTTTAAACACACACCTGACAATATCATTCACTTGTTCAAAGGGCTCAGTACTATAAACCCTCATGGGGCCTTTGTGATCTGGCCCTTCCTGTCTCCCCAGCCCTCGCTCTGTGCTGTCACTAAACAGGCTGGAGTTTCCTGAATGTCCAGTGCTGTTTCACTTCTCTATGGGTGCTGTTCCTTCTGCTGGGTCACCGAGCCTTCCACTTGCCTGCCAATTCATCCTCCTACATGAAGGTTCATTATTTCATCAATAAACACTTTCCAACACTTCTCATGAGTCGAGCCTGGGACAAGTTCAGGGAGTACAATGCTGAATGACACACTCAACCCTTTCTCATAGAAAAAGTAACTTCAGGGCTCTCAAAGGAGGAATAAAGTTTGGAAATTAAGGTAAAGTTGTCTGAAATTTAGCAGTGTTGCCTTTATTAGTTGGATATCTTAGCAAACTGTGGAAACTTGGAAACCTTGATACTTGGGCATCAAGTTCAAAAGTGTCTCAGCAGATTTCAATTGTAACAGTAAACTGTGATATGGTAGATTTATTCATTTTGGCTCACAAGGCTATAATGTGCTAAAAAACATTGATTTGAACTACAAAAACAATGATCAAAAACTTGCTTCAATATAGTGTTACAAATTTATAAAGTATTAGGCAGGGCATGGTGGCTCACATCTGCAATACCAGCACTTTGGGAGGCCAAGGCAAGCAGATCACCTGAGGTCAGTAGTTCGAGACCAGCCTGGTCAACAGGGCCAAACTTGTCCCTACTACAAATACAAAAGTCAGCTGGGTGTTGTGGGTGCCTGTAGTCCCAGCTACTTGGAAGGCTGAAACACGAGAATTGCTTGAACGCAGGAGGAGGAGGTTGCAGTGAGCCAAGATTGCACCACTACACTCCTGTGTGGGGCAAGAGAGTAAGACTCTGTCTCAAAAAACAAAACAAAACAACCTATTAATTAGTCATACCATTTCCTAAAAGTCACGCTGCTAACTAAAGGTGACTGCAATGATCTAGGGATGGTAATCTGCTGAGTTTACTCTTTAAATACACTGGAACCCAGCAGATTGAGTTATATTGGGACAGAAACTTCACTCTGGGTATAGATTTACCCTAGCACCTTGTCAGCAGGATCCTATTATTCATGGTTGTACAAGCAAGGTTCAGGGAAGAGGCTGGCACAGAGAAAGTACCTGTTAACTGTTGTTTGGGACTGAATTCAGCTCAACTCAGCTCCAGTAGAGATGGTGCTCCCTTCTCTACCGTGTTGAGATAGTGTGCAGTCCCTTCCTAGGTGCTGCTACCCACCACAGTGGGGCCTGTCAGCTTCAACTTTTAAATTTCTCTGCTCCCGCTGGGACCCACCCGCTTCAAAAAGCACCATGTGGTTTTGGCATCAATTTAGTAAACACACACTGTCTGAAATATTTTGATTTTAGAGAGTTACAATCACCACATTAAATGATACATTTCTACTATTCAGTGAAAATGGTAGCAAAATGGTCATTGAATAATGAAATTAATTTTCTCCTGGGCTTCTGAGGCAAAGCACATGATTTTAGTGGTTATCTTAAATCAACCCAGTGACCTTTACTGGCATGTTGTAACATCAGGCGCCTTAGGAAACTGAAAACTCAATCGTCACTTCCCATACCACTGCCCCAGGTCAGCAGGGCAGGCATTTCACATCTACAGTCTCATTTTAAATACAGACAGAGCAAGCCTCGCTTTTCAAAAGTTCATTAACAAAGTCTCACAATTAAGAGAGCAGCCCTGTGACTCATTTTTGGATACCTGTAAATAACAGCTCCTCCCTTTGCTGAGAAACGGCTGAAACAAGCGCGTGAGAACCACAGGAAGTAATACAGATCTCAGCTGGTGTCAGCGGAGTCTAGAAAAAGGCAGAATTCCCTCTCAGGACGGCGTGGTTCTCGCAGGCATTGCCACTACTTCTCTCCATTTTTCTAAAACAAAGTCTTACGTGGGCTGCGAAGGGACTGCTCCAAGGCTCTATCAATTTCTCCGTCTTTCTTGGCTACTGAGTGACACTGCCAAGTTCAAGTCAAGAAGTACCCATTCTGGTGTTTTTGACACAGTCACCCTAATAGGAAGTGAAGAGGTGATAACACAAAAACACTTCAGTCTTTCGATTTAAAATAAAATAGTCTTAGGTGGACACTTTAAAAAGGCAGCCTACCGACAGGTATCCCTAAAATAATTCCTGTGAAGCACTAAATCCTAAATCCCTCAGCCTCTGAAATTAAAAGTAATTTTAAAAAATCATTCCGCTTTATATGAGGAACCCAATCCTGTGTTTCCGAAGGTGCCCAGAGGCGGCGTGAGGACCTGCGCCAGATCCAAAATCCCAACTAAGGCGCAGCCGCGGGTCCCGAGCCCAGACAGTGCCCCCGCCCGCCTCCCGGATCTCTCAGCGCACGGGGAATAGTCAGGAAGAGAAATGGGGGGTCAGGAAGAGAAATGGGGGGTCAGAAAGAGAAATGGGGGCTCAGGGAGAGAAAAACAAACCTGGACCCGGAACGAGAGCGCGAACTGAGAAGCCTCTCTCCCCGCAGGGCGCGCGTCCCCTGTGGGCGCCGCGATGGGGAAGGAAACCTGTTGCGCGACTCCCGGCGGCTCTGCTCCCGGCGCCTCCTGCGGCCGAGGCTGGGCTCCTCCACAGCCGCCCGAGCTCCGCGCCGCCGCGGCCGCATCTGGGCGCCGCCGGCTCAGCCCCCGCCGCTTAGGAAGCTACCACAGCTGGGGACCAGGCCCCGCCCCGGGATGACAGCGCCGGGGCGCGGCAGCAGCCGGCTCACAGAGCACGGGTTCCCGCCCCACCCGGAGTCCGTGCGCTCGGGACCGCCCGGAGCCGGGGACTCGCTCCAGCCCCTCCCGCGAGCCCCGGGGCGTTCCCGGGGGCGGCGCGGACCCGCGCAGGGAGTGGGATGTTAGCCGCCCAAGACACTTCCTCCGCTCATCCTCTGGTCCCCAGGTCAGGGAGTGCGATGGACTTTCCCCGGGAATCCCCGCTGCGCCGGTGACATTTGCAGTCCGGTGCGTTTCTGCGGCAAGGACGCTGGAAGCGGTCTCTGAGCGTGGGTGTGGCTGCGGAGGCTGCAGCAGGTCCTGCATCCGCGGGACCCTCGAGGAGGCGGGCGAGGAGCCTGCGGTCACACAGAGGCCGAGCACAGCCTTCCCAGAACCCGGCCGGCCAACCCATCTCCAGTCGGCCTCAACACCCGCCAGGCTCATCATTCCCTGGATATCAACTGAGCGGCCCCTTGTATTCCCAGGATAACACCGCGCTCAAAAACACTGCCAAGACCCTCCCTCCAGGTCCCGGCACTTTAACGGGGAGAGATAAACATAAAGTGTGGATTGTGTCAGGTGATGGTAAAGCACCTTGGCTGAGGCTGAAAAGTAAGGAAGTGATACTCAAGAAAGGAAAAATCGGGCCGGGCGCGGTAGCTCATGCCCGTAATCCTAACACTTTGGGAGGCCGAAGGGGGCGGATCTCTTGAGCCCAGAAATTTGAGACCAGCCAGAGCAATATGGTGAAAGCCTATCTCTACAAAAAATAAAAAAAGATTAACTGGGCGTGGTGGCACGCGCTGTGAGCCCAGCTACGCGGGAGGCTAAGGTGGGAGGATCACTTGAGGCCGGGAGGCCAAGGATGCAGTGAGCCGAGATCGCGCCACTGCACTCCAGCCTGGGCGACAGAATGAGACGCTGCCTCAATTGAATGAGAAGAAAAAAAATAAAAAATAAAAATAAACGAATCCTGTCTTGATGGGAGAATGTTTAAACACAGGAACCACCTGAAAGAGCTCCCAGTTGCCAAAGATGGAACCACTGAGCAACGAAGTAAACTGAACAAAGTAGTACTGGATTACAAACCAAAGTAAAAAATATCCATGAGTCTACACTGATATAAATAAATAAATAAATGAATAAATGGCAGAGAGGAGACAAATCTCCTATACAGAATAATTCCAAATAATTTATGTAGATCATCTACCCTAGGCTGTGCACAGTGACTTCCTCCAAAATAGTACAATGTGGAAAGGGGAAAAGAGTAGCTTTACAATGGAGAAAGCCAACAGACACTACCCCAACCAGATGTTCTAAGTCAACGTCAACAATCATGACTCATATTGATGGCGTGTAGTCAACATGATGTGATGAATATGGCATATTACCTGTGTGGTCTCCCTCCCCGAAAACCATAACCTCAGTATCATAATGAGAAAAATATCAAACAACTTCCAACAGCGGGACATCTTACAAAATACTGGACCAATATTCCTCAAAGTTGTCAGGTTATCAAAAGTAAGGAAAGTACAGTCCAGACGTTGTGGCTGTTGCCTGTAATCCCAACACTTTGAGAGGCTGAAGCCAGAGGATTGCTTGAGGCCAGGAGTTCGAGACCTGGCCTGGCCAACATAATGAGATGCTGTCTCTACAAAAAAATTAAAATAAAGAAAGTCTGAAAAACTGCTGCAGCCTAGAAGAAACTCAGGAGATGTGAAACGAAATGTAATGTGGTATCCTGGATAGGATCCTGGGACAGAAAAAGGACTTGGGGAAAAACTAAGGAAATCTAAATAAAGTGTGGACTTTCATTAGTAATAAGAATCAAGGTTGATTAATTAGTTGTGAGGAATGTAATGTAAGATGGTAATCATAGGGAAATCTGAAATGGAATCTATGGCAATTCTGTACTACATTTGCAATTGTTCTGTAACTCTAAAACTGTTCTAAAAAATAGTTTATTTTAAAAGAAAGTGAAATAAGAGGGATGAGGTATGTTATATTTTTAAAAATAGGTATATTGCAAAGCCCTCTGTGATAGGAGAATCATTGAGGGAGGAAACAATGCAGCTATTGGGATTAAGATCATTTCAAGCCTAGGAATCAGTGGATGTAAACGCCCTGAGGCAGGAGCATGCTTGGCTTCTGGGAGAAATATCAGCATGGGCAAAACAGAGTCCAGGAAGAGTTATGGTGGTGGGACTAAGAGTGGGGAATAGAGCATGTAGGGCATTGGTAGTCATGATAGTCTTTAAATTTTACATTGATTGAGATAGGAAGACTGAAGAATGTTTAACAGAGAAGCTAAATGATGTGGCTGGTTGTTTTTTTAATCTACCGTTTTGCTGAGGATAGATTAAAGGACAAAGATGAAAAGAGGCCAGCGAGTTAGAAAGCTGTGATGGTTAATCTGATGTGTCAAATTTATTGGACCATGGGGTGCCCAGATATTTGGTAAAACGTTATCCTGGGTGTGTCTGTGAGGGTGCTTGCTGATGACATTTTTATTTTTATTTGTTTTTTTTTTTTTTTTTTTTTTGAGATAGTGTCTCACTCTGTTGCCCAGGCTGCAGTGCAGTGGCATGATCATGGCTCCCGGCAGCCTCGACCTCCCCTGCTCAAGTGATCCTCCTGCCTCAGCCCCCTGAGTAGCTGGGACTACAGGCATGCACCACCACACTTGGCAAATTTTTTATTTTTAGCCCAGGCTGGTCTCCAACTCCTTAGGTCAAGTGATCCTGCCACCTTGGCCTCCCAAAGTGCTGGGTTAACAGGCATCAGTTACCATGCTCAGCTGAGATTAACCTTTGAATCCATGGAGAAGACTGCCTGAAAAAGAGTCTAAGTTGTGCATGGGGAAAAAAGGGGAAGATTGCTGGGGATTCAGAGTGGCATTTTGGACACCTTCAGTTTGGAGTTGTCAAGTTGTCACAAAGGTGGTTGGTTAGGTGAGTCTGGGATGGTGGTATATATTTGGAGTTCTTTAGCATATAGATGGTGTGCAGACAGGATGGGGATGTCTGAAATCTGAGTCCTGGCATGCTCCGAGGTTAGGAAGATAGAGAATCAAAAAAAAGAGAATGAGAAGTTCTGATTAGTGAGATAGATAAACCAAGAGAGAACATGTTCCCAGAAGCCAAATGAAAAAAATGTTGCAAGAAAGAATGATTAACTTTCAAATGCTGCTACAGTGTGTAAAATTAGGATGCAAAACTGAGCAATGGGCTTGGCCACATGGAAGTCAGTGGTGAGCTTGGTAACAAGAGTTTTAGTGGGGGATGACCAAAGCCTATTTGGAGTGACCCCAGAAAGAATCAAAATGGCAGATGAAGACAAAGAAATGGAGTAGAAACTGGAAGGAATCATATAGTCAAAGCAGTTTGTTCGTTTTTTTTAAATTAGAAGTTATACATGTTTGTACACTCACCAGCATGAACCAAAAGGAAAGGAAAGAGGGATAATACAGGAGCAAAAATATGGGTTACAGACTGGAGCAATGTTCTTGAGTAGATAAGCAGGTGTGCAATCCAATGCACAAATGGAAATTTGGGGTAAAATAGAAGAAAGAGTTCATCCCTGGTAATAGGAGAAAACAACTCCAAACTGAACATGTCCAAAATGCCACTCTTAATTCCCGGCAATCTTCCCCTTCCCTCCCCATCCGCAATTTACTTTTTCAGGCAGTCGTCCTCATAGATTCAAATGTTAATCTCAGCTGAGTGTGGTAGCCTGTAAACCCAGCACTTTGGGAGGCCAAGGTAGGAGGATCACTTGAACCTGGGAGTTGGAGAGCAGCCTAGGCAACATAGGGAGATCTTATCTTTAGTAAAAATCAAAGAATTAGCCGAGTGTGGTGGTGCATGCCTGATGTCCCAGCTACTCGGAAAGTGTGGCAGAGATGCTGGTAAATGTGGAGGCAATAACATATTTTATCAATGAAATTAAAAGCAAAGGCCAGGCACGGTGGTTCAGGCCTGTAATCCCAGCACTTTGAGAGGCTGAGGTGGGTGGGTCACCTGAGGTCAGGAGTTCAAGACCAGCCTGACCAACATGGAGAAACCCTGTCACTACTAAAAATACAAAATTAGCCGGGCATGGTGGTGCATGATGACAGGGTTTAGCGTATGGCCAATCTAAATTATCTTCTGCAGTTGATCTGCCCACACTCAGCTGAAACCCCAGCTTATTCTTGGGTTATTCTTGTTTTACAGATTTTCTGGAAACCTTAGCTCTCCCCTCCAATCTGGAGTTTTTCAGAGGTGATGACTGATAAGGACCTTAGGGTGAAGCTCAGATAAAGCAGAGCTGGCACTGGGTGCAGGGTGTGGCCATTGCATGGAGGTCTGTCAGCCGCAGCCATCATCCTGCACACTAGTGCCGTTCCTAATTTACAGAGCTCATAAACCCATTGAATGCTAGGGTTGGAAGGTCCTCTAACACAGCCACCCTTCTGAGGTGCAACTCCTTCACAGCTCTCAGTCAAATAGTCATTGCGTATCAACTACCATTTCTTTTTTTCATGCTAGTTCGAGAACTCTTTGCAGACAAAGAATGTGTTTAAACTTATTGTATTGTTGTGATAAAATATTTACAACATAGAATTTACCATTGTAACTATGTTAAAGTGTACAGTGGCATTAAATTAGGTACATTCACATTGTGGTGTAACCATCACCACCATCCTGAACGTTTTTATCCTGCCAACTAAAACTGCACCCGTTAAACACTAACTCCCTAGTCTCTCCTCCCTCTTACCATTAGCAACCACCATTCTACTTTTTTTCTTTACTAACATCTCTCTCAGTCCTTGATAACCACAATTCTACTTCTGCTTCTATGAGTTCAACGTTTTTAGATTCCACATGTAAATGTCATCATGTGGTATTTGTTTTTCTGTGCCTGGCTTATTTCACTTAACATAATGTCCTCCAGGTTCATTCATGTCATTGCAATGACAGGATTTCCTTCTTTTGTAAGGCTGAAAGTACCCCATTGTGTGTATATGTATATCACATTTTCTTTATCCATTCATTCACTGTTGAACACTTATGTTGATT